ATGAGGAGAGAGCCGGGTGTGCTGCACCTTGCACTTAATTGCTGCTGGCTTCTGGCTCCTAATGAAGCTTAGCTGCGGGAGAAGCAGCAGCCTCTCCTCATCTCCTCTGCCTCGGGCAGCCTGACCCTGCCAGCCCTATGCCCTGCCTCGGGGGTGCGGGGTGCCCTGTGCTCCCTCTGCACTGGGAGGATGCTGAATGTCACCCCCGTGCAGCTGTGACATGCCCAGAGCCCATCCCCTGTCCCTGTGCTCTGCATCGCAGCGCCAGCCCTGCTGCTGCATCTCCTGCCTGCTGTCCTGGGCAGGCTCACAGTGCTGCCAGGGAGGGACCATGGCTGTGCCAGGGCCCAGCAGGGACTGGGCATCACTCCTGCCAGCTCAATTTGGCATCCCCAGCTCCGCACTGTCTGTGGGTGCAGGGCAGCACCATGGGGCTGAGCTGGATGGTGGCCTGGCCCTGCCAGGCAGTGACAACCACTGCTGTGCTTCTGTCCCTGCTGCTTGGATGGTGCCTGGGCCCTGGATGGGAGTTTGGATCATCCTGTCCAATGATGGACTGGATGGGAGTTTGGTCCTGGATGGGATGGGAGCTTGGATCATCCTGTGCATTAGGGAGAGCTGCTGGAGGGGTCAGGGGGATTTTCCCTGCCAGGAATGGTGGCTGGGTCCTGGATGGGAGCTTGGATCATCCTGTGTATTAAGGAGAGATGCTGGAAGGGTCAGGGGCACTCTCCCTGCCAGGACTTGACTTGCTCTGCTTGAAGGTGGTGAGCATTGATTGGGCAGCTGTGTCCCAACCACCCCCTGGGCGCCCTCCCCAGCCGTGCAGGAAGGGGTTAATGGCTGGCCCATACCTGCAGTTGCATTTTAAAGATGTGAAATTAAAGCCCGTAATTTATTCTCCCCACACACGAAGGAGCAATTAGTTCTAAACACGGCTTAATCAGTCAGTGCGAGATTGATTTCTGTAGACTTGGATTTGGTGGCTGCTGGCGAGGAGCCAGCCTGGGAGCAATCTCCAAATAAATGAAGTGCAGAGAAGTAAGCCATTACATAATATGATAGATGAGGCTGGAGCTCACTTGCCTCTTCATTAGTATTCCACTGTACACCACAGCAGCACCAAACTTTCTCCCCTCTTCCTCCTCCTCCTCCTCCTCCTCCTCGTCCTTGTGTCCCTCCTGCAGCTGGGAAAGGGCTGGGGAGGAGCCTCCAGCAGACCCTGGCCAGCCCTGAGCCTTTGGGCAGAGCTGGGGAAGGGTCTCTGTCCTGCAGATTCTTCCCTGGGTTCTGCATCTTGCCTTTGTCCTCTGGGGAAACTGAGGCACAGGGAGCTGGGGTGGCATCCCTTGATGTCAGCAGGGAGAGGCAGGTGTCAGAGAATCCCAGGGTGGTTTGAGTTGGGA